TATGATCCCAATTCTACCTTACAAATCTGGCTAGACCAGAGGATGTACATTGGTACAGATAGCAACTGGAAACACAGGGAACCCAGGACAGATGACCCCTTCAGGGCCAGTGGTGAGAGTGGCGATGCCTGGAGGGTGGAGGGAATATGGGGTGGAAAGGGGGAATGGATTAAAAGAATCTACGTATAACCTCCTCCCTTGGGGATGGACAACAGAGAAGTGGGTGAGGGGAGACATTGGAGAGTGTAACATATGACAAAATAATAAAAATTTATGAACTATGAAGGGTTCATGAGGGAGGGGAAGCGGGGAGGGAGAGGGAAAAATGAGGAGCTGATATTAAGGGCTCAAGTAGAAGGCAAATGTTTTGAGAACGATGATGGCAACAAATGTACAAATGTGTTAGACACAATGGATGTATGTGTGGATTGTGATAAGAATTGTATGAGCCCCCAATAAAATTATTTTTTTTTAAAGTATGTAATATTGTTTGGTTACCAAATGTGATGTGTCATTATGTGACTGCTAAAGATTATTTTAACTTGAAACATCAACATAACAAAAGCAAGGCAAGTATGGTTACAAGTGTATGTTTAAATATAAACTCCTGTCACATTAAAAATAAATAAAAATATGATTTTCTTTCAAAGAAAACAATAATGATAAAGTGTGATTCTCTAATGCCTTATGGTTACATCAACTTTTCAAATAAATTAATTACTCTATAGAAATTTCCTTCTACATAGTGAAATTCTCAATAAAAAACAGGAATTGGTGTAGCACAGGCAACAACCCTGAAAAATAAACAGCCTCTACCTTGAGAGCCGCTTTCACCCGCAGCAGACACTCTTGACGCCGAAGGAAACCTAACTGCAGCCATGAGCAGCAACGAATGCTTCCAGTGTGGGCGATCTGGCCACTGGGCCCAGGAATACCCGACTGGAGGAGGCCATGGTCCTGGAAGGAGAAGCTGTGGCAGAGGGGGTTTTCCCTCGGATAGAGGTTTCCAGTTTGTTTCCTCATCTCTTCCAGACATCTGTTATTGTTGTGGTGAGTCTGGTCATCTTGCCAAGGATTGTGATCTTCAGGAGGATATTGAAGCCTGCTATAATTGGGGTAGAGGTGGTCACATTGCCAAGGACTGCAAGGAGCCCAAGAGCGAGCGAGAGCAGTGCTGCTACAACTGTGGCAAACAGGCCATCTGGCTAGTGACTGTGACCACGCTGATGAGCAGAAGAGCTACTCTTGTGGAGAATTTGGACACATTCAGAAAGACTGCACCAAAGGGAAGTGTTACAGGTGTGGTGAGACTGGTCAGGTAGCTATCAAGTGCAGCAAGACAAGTGAAGTCAACAAGTGAAGTCAGGGCACCGTGCACGGGAATGCCCAATTGAGGCTACAGCTTCATCAGTTTCCTTTGTTGCCCCTCCTTTTTCTGATGGATGGTTGTATTCTTTTCTCTAAATCCTCTTCACTGGCCAAAGGTTGGCAGACAGAAGCAGGCCAGTGAGCTTTACTTGCCGTGTAAAAGGAGGAAAGGGGTGGGGGGAAAAATCGACTTTCTGCATGCAATTACAAAAAAAATTTATGTTTCGTTTGGTAGAGGTGTTATGTATAATGTTTTGTTAAAGAATCCCCTTTTCATGCCACTGGGGAATAAAGGATTACTGAATGGGTCTCTTGAGATGATCCCATGTAGGAGATAGAACCAATTTTGGAAGTATCTATGAACTTCTTTAAGTAACTTTAATTTTAGCACCATCATGATGGCCTTGGGTTGTCTGACCTCAGTAGCTGTAACAGCAAGTCACAGCTGCATCAGGCCCTATATAGAACATACAGTTGAATGGGAGTAAACAAAGAAAAACATGACGTTACAAGAGAGAACCCAGGATAAAAGTCCTGTTTAGACAGGAACAACTTCATCACAGAGTGGATGCGGAGCACTCATACGTGGTGATGGCAAAGGTTTAAAACACATTTTATTCCTCAAAGACTTAAATTCAAAGCCCAGAGTAAACATCGATACTCAGAGTTAGCATAATTGGGAGCTTGTTCAGGAATTGCAAAGAAATGCATTTTCACAGAAATCAAGATGTTATTTTTGTATACTATATCACTTAGACAACTGTTTCATTTACTGTGATCAGTTTTTAAAAGTCAGATGGAAAAAAGTAACTGAAGTCCTAGAAAACAGAAATGTAATTTTAAACTATCTAATAAAGCTGGAGGAGGAAAGGCAATTTGACTAAAAACAAAATAAAACAAAACAAAACAGGAATTGCCTTTTTTATGAAGAGGGCACTGAAGACGAAGAAGGAAGCTCCTGCCCCTCCCAAAACAGAAGCCAATGCAAAGGCTTGAAAAGCCTAGAAGGCCCTAAGTGAAGACCCGCAGGTCACCCACCTTCCCGGGCGGCCCAAGATCCCAGACTAAGGCAGCCCAAATACCCCCGGAAGAGTGCCCCCAGGAGAAATAAGCTGGACCATTATGCCATCACTAAGTACACCTTGACCACAGTGTGCCACGAAGAAGATGGAAGATAACAACAGCCGTGTGTTTATTGTGGATGTGGATGTCAGACAACAAGCACCAGATCAAACAGGCTGTGAAGCAGCTCCATGACACTGACAGCCAAGGCCAACACCTTGATCTGGACTGCTGGTGAGAAGAAGGCGTATGTGCTTGACTGGCTCCTGACTAGGATGCTTTAGATGTTGCCAATAAAATCGGAATCATCTAAACGCAGCCGAGCCGGCTAATGCTAAATATAAACTTATTCAATATAAAAATAAAATAAAAAACACAGGAATTATCTTTTTTTAAATGAAGCATAATGTACCATTCACAGTTTTGAGAATATGCGAACTAGATTTCCAGATGTTAGTCTCATATATTTAAAGTTTAAATCAATATTTGAACTTAATTAGAACTTAAGGCAATTACTCTCTAATTCAAATTTATGTTAACTTTTGTAGAAAACTGAATTTGAAATATCTAACTTCAGAATGAGCAAATCCATGAGATCAGTTTGCACAACCGAAAATTAATCAGGATGAACAGCACATACATTCGATACTAACCAATGAGAAGAACTGTTCCAACAGCTAAGCCTCCACCTGGAATTGAAACAAGAGAGGACACTGAGTCTACCTTTTTACATTATAGTTAGCAGAAAACTTACGCTTTATCAAGGACAGGTACTGCAATAACTTTGAAAATGCAGTTGAGAACAACATTTTAATTACCTTTGCAATACTTTGTTCTAGGTGGCATTATGAAATAATTATATATTGTATATAATTACACACTACACATTACAATTACTTTCATAATATACTGTACTAGCCTCATTTCTCCCGTGATAGGACCATGTCACATTTAACATAACTGTGGTTAAGATTAAATGTTATATTTAGTACTTGTGAATAAATTAACTCAATAGCCAAACCTAAATGTGCACAGGTACTTAACTGCTACAGAAGTACAACATAGAAAAGAAAGGTTATTATGATAGAAATTCCACTTTAATATTTACCCATAAATTTAATAAGCCTTATAAAAATGAACTGATAATTAAAACTAATTCTCTGTTCATTATGAATAATATACACACAGCTGAACATTCTAAATATCTAGGTCCAAATATATTTGGAATTTCAAGTTAACAATACTTTTGCCAACTAAAAGAGAAAAGAATATTTTTAATCCCCTTATTTCAATATTATTACAATATGTTCTTTTAAACCTAAGACTTATGCTAGTATGATCACAAATATAAAACTTAAATACTAAATGATTAATTTAAAATTAAATGTTAAGAGACTAGAATCACTATAAAATGAGACAATTGACTCATAATATTTTGTTCCCAATTCCATTTAAATTATTATAATTGGCAATGAAGCAACAATACTAACAAATACTTAAAATACATGTCAAAGAATGAATAGAAATATATTTGAGTTATAAAAACTACTGAAAATGATTGGACAACTGAAAATAATGTTACTAGTTTTATTTTTTCCTCTACAGTGCATAAAGTGAAACATTTAGAATACCAAGAAAGAGCTTTTCTTCAGAGTTTTACAGATGTTATGTGGAACATTGAGTAAAAATGTTTCCTTGGCAATGGTTATTTTTGTCTTGCAAAAAGCATATAGAATTGCCATTTGTTTTAGGGAAAGATGAACAATTGGGTAACAGAATGAATATCATGCAACATTTGGTTTGTGCTGACTGTAGTGAATGCAATCAATTTTATGACACTGTTGTTAGGAACTGATTAGTAGGTGCCAACTCACAGTGATCCTATGTACAACTGAAACAATGCCTGGTCCTGGGACATCTCACACTTATTCTCTGAGTCTATTGTTTTGCCACTATGTCAATAAAGTCTCATCAGGGTCTTGCTCTTTTTCTTTAACCCTCTACATTACCAAGTGTGATATTCTTTTCCAGAGACTGATCTCCGCTGATAACATATTTTAAATATGTGAGGGGAAGGCATATCCCATCCTCAGTTCCAAGACAGACTTGTTTATTCTTCTGTCAGTCTCAGGTAATTTTGATTTGTTTTTTGCCAGTATCAGAACTCAAATGCCTCAATTCTTCCACGTCCAGCTTTTACATGCTTATGAGACCATTGAAAATACCATGGCATGGGTTACATACATCTTCGTCCTCAAAGTTACCAAAAGATGACTGCAGTGTGTAGCAAATCTTTCTTGTTTATACTTTAAAGAGGCCTTTTGCAGCAGATTTGCCCAGTATGTCCTTTAATTTCTTGACTGCATTTTCCTTGAGCATTGATTGTGAATCCAACTAAAAATGCAGTACTTAAAATCTTTTTGTGTTCAAGTGGATTTGTTATAAGACTGAATATATAGAGTATTGTAGCACTTAGAAAATTTCATTTAGCACAGCATTTAAAGATATAGCAGGCTAAATAAGAATTTAAATTGTTTTCAAAACTAAAAGATTAACATCAGCTGAAATTTATATGATGATAGTAATTATACAACATTAGAAAATAAAAAGGTTTGCTTTGGGACAAGATTAGACTAAATGTCTGTTGAATTTCACATTTTGTGCCTGTAACTCTTTAGTCTACTTTGAACATTTAAAATCAAACTTAACAACTTCTTACTTTCTCACTACTCATGAAAAAATAAACTATCTAAGAGTCATTTTGTGCATAATAAAAAGAAATAACATCTTACAACAGAGACAGTACAATGTCTTGTCTAGAGCAGGTATTATTTTAAAAGCTTCTTCAGCTTATTTCCCATAGTAAAGATTAAGGTTTCTTATCTAAATACATACATATTTTCTCAAATTAGGAATTTATATAAGGCCTTTCCTGGAATAGTTAGAGAAGTAAGTATTTTTAAAAATTTGATGAAAACATTTCAAGGATTATCCCCTCACTTAAATGCAGAGGTCTCTTCCTCAGGTGTCTGTCTGAGAACGAAGCTTACAAAGGTAAATTCCAGCAATTATTTTCTGATCAGAAGAAATCACTAACAAAAATAATTGTCTGATATATTGCGATAACCATAACAATATTAGCAAGAATCCTTCCCATTGATGAAACCGCTAAGCAAACAGTTATGCAAAGTAAGACAGCTATGCGGGTGGTTCCCTGCCATGAGGGGCTAAACAACCAGCTGGTACTGATAACTCAGAAAACACCAGGCCACTGAGGTTTTTCAACCCTTGCATTAAAAATTCAAATGTTGGGAAATTTTTCACATTATCTCAGCATAAAATTGGAGTATATTACTTATTTTTACCTGCTAAACTAACAGACTACCTCGCCTTACCCATCCCCTAGCCAAATGGTCCTATTCTGTACACTTAGATTCATTTAAATTGACCACAGTAAAGTTTGGTTATTTTAAAGGCTGGTCAGGGGACCAGGATGAATTCATCTTATCGACAATTTTCAAATCAAGTTTTCATTATATATACCAGGGTGAATCAAAAAGTACTGCTATTAAACAGAAACACTTATTGAACAGAAATATCAAAATCCGAAGCTATTGTTTGTCAACACATCCTGCATCTAGGTCAATACATTACTGAGGGCAGCGTTTCCATCTCTCTGCCTTCCCTAAAGAATTCTGCACTCCTGGATTTACACACATTATGTCAAAAGGAAGTTTTGTCATCATTGAGGGACTCAAATTGTGTTCCTTTCAAATGTTCTTTGACTTTTGGGACTAAACAGAAGTCTGAAGGGGCAACATTACTGTTGTAGATTAGATTGGGTGAGGTTTTCCAATGAGTAGCTCACAAAGACATCCCTTTCTGCCTTTTAAGAATGAGCAAGCGCAGTGAGGATGGGTGAAAAAAACCTTGGTGCAATTTTCCTAGCCTTTTTCTCACTAATGCATTTTCAGTTAAAGCAAAAAAACAAACAAACAAACAAACACTTCATCATAAGCCTTCGTGTTCATCCTGTCTTTCAAGGAAATCTATCAAGATTATCCCTTGGGGAATCCTCTGAGTCGAACGCTCTGCTTAGACTTTAACCTGCACAGCAGATAACCTCAGAATTCCCTCTCTTTCAATTGGATCTTTATTTTTGAAAGCATCATAGAGATTAAGGCATGTAAGTTTTAATGCATACATTTTGCTTGGAATAAACCTGTGCATATATGAAGTGAAATTTTAGTTCTCAAATGCCCCACCATTGAGTTTATTTAGATATATATTGTGACCTTATAGGACAACGCAGACTGCCCTTGTGGGTTTCCAAGATTGTGAATCTTTACAGTAGAAAACCTCATCTTTCTCCCTCTGAGTGATTGGTGGTTTCAAACTTCTGACCTTGAGGTTGGCAGCCCAAAGCGTAGCCCAATATGCCATCAGGGCTCCTAACACCATAAAAGAGATACAAAACTAAATAAACTCACTACTGTAGAGTTAATTCTGACTCAGCAACATAATAGATTTGGCCCTGTGTGGTTTAAGACTGCAACTATTTACAGGTGTAGAAAGCCTTGTCTTTGACAGACTAGTGGTAGTCTCAAACTGCTAGCCTTGTGGTTTATCAGCCTAGTGCATAACCTCTGTGGCACAGGGCCTCCTCCTAAAGCGATCGGGGTTCCTTAAAAAGAAAAAATTCACAGCCATCCAAGCAGATGCTGACTCATAGTGAAGCTAAAGGACACAGTCGAACTGCCCACGTAGGTTTCCAAAGCTGTGACTGTTGATGGGAACAGAGACTCATCTTTCTCTGGTGGTTTCAAAAGGCTGACCTGTGGTTAACAGCCCAGCGCCTTACCTCTATGCCATGAGGGATCCCTAGTAACCCCCAAAAGTCACAGCCATTGAAATCATGCTGACTTACAGTGACTCTCTAGAGGGTTTCCGACATTATAAGTCTTTATAAAAGCCGATAGCCTCATCTTTCTCTTTCAGTGTGGCTGGAGGGTTTGAATCGCCAATCTTGCAACAGCCTATTGCTTAACCCATAGTGTCAATGATTTTTTACTTAGTCTGGTATATTAGGTATATTTCTTGATTGCAAGAAAAATATTTGAAATGATTAGTTTATGTTTAAACGATGAAGATATTGGAGCTTTCAGATTTATAAAGCATTTTGGAGTAAACAATGGGAATATTAGTACATCATCAAATACCTAATATTTAATTAATCTGCATGGAATCTTTCAAATATAGTTAGTATCTCTGCTTAAAATTACAATGATGTCATGGTAGTGGTAATAAAATGTCGCTGCACTGCACGACAGTGAGAATACACCATTTGCTTGCTACACAGTAACCACAGAATATATTTTAACATAATCACAATTGTAAGATTATAGTCGCATCATCCTGACATCATGACATACTACTATCATTACATTTTGTAACAATGTGGCCATATTAAACTTGTCACAATGTGAACAAAATTACATTTTTAAAGTAACAATATAATATGAATTGCTTATACTAGTATACAATGGGGTAACCTCCCCCCCAAAAAAACCCAGAATTTTTTTCTCCAAGGCTATGTAATTAAATTTTATTACAAAACAAATTTATCACCTTCCAAATACTTTCCATTACACTTAATACATTTGTCAAATCTGCGATTCCATTCTTGGAAACATTTTCAAACCCTGTTTGGATGGTTGACAGTGTCGCCCTTATTTTTTTCTTCATCTATTCTATTTCCTCAAATTGCTGTCCTTTCATGTCCCTCTTTATTCATGGAAACAAAAAGAAATTGCATGGAGTGAGGTCAGGTGAGTCAGGTGCACGGGGCAAGAGAGGCATGCTGCTTTATTGGGGGTTTTTTGCCTAAAATTGACACACTGAGATGACTGTGTGAGCTGGAGCATTTTTGTGGTGGCAAAACCTGTCTGTCACAGATCAGGGCTTTTTGTTGCACCCTGTCATGCTATCTTTTCAGAACCTCTAATTAGAAAGCTTGATTAACAGTCTGACCTGGTGGAACAAACTCCCAATCTGTTACAAGTCAACATTTTTGTTCGTTCAGGAAGTTGACAGATGTCCAGAATGAGATTTGTCATCAATCAACATTTTACCTGTTTGAAATGAGAAAACCATTCATACACTTGAGTTTTTCCCATAGTGCTGTCCTCATAAGCTGTGTTCAACATCACAACAGTTTCTGTGGCAGGTTTCCCGAGCAGGAAACAACATTTCACAGCCACATGCTGCTCTCTTAAATTGGCCATCACGAAAAATGAGGCTTGAGTAAACCTACTTTTACAAAAAAACTTACTATAACCAGAGAGAACCTTCCTAGGCAATGCTACTGGGGCACTAACTCAGAGTGAGTTGCTCCACGCTTGCCTAGGAGGAAAAATGTGCACTACGAAAGCTTAGCAGAGCTTTTTTCAGTTTTTTTTTGGGGGGGGTAGGGGGACATCCCCATCATATTTACACATTAACAGTCAACTGTTTCACTTTCAAATAATGTTTTAATGAAAAAATTAAAAAAAATGAGTTTGCTTCACAGAGCCATACAGAATGCAAAATCAAAACACAAAAATGTCATTAGGTTAGAAAACACTAAAATATTTCTTACCATATCTACTATTCTAAATGTAAATAAATTCTTCAATTTCTGTACATGCTAATTATTGCAAAAAATAATTGCATAATGCAGAACATACCATTTCAACATATTCAAGTCAACAACTGTTATTTCCACCTTCTTAAAGTTTAGCATAAAAATAATTGTGTATCTTCAAACACTAATGATCTTCCAAATTTAGAAAACTTTAAAAATCAGAGTTCAAGTTTGTAATCTCTGTATAAATACATGAGGAATATATTTTGGATTCTCTTTTTGATGGATACTTTGAAATATAGACTCTGGGAGCCCTGGTGGTGCAGTGTTTAAAGTGTTCAACTGCTGTTTACTGAAAGGCCAGTCAGCAGTTGGAACCCCCTGCAGCTCTATGAAAGAAAGAAGTGGCAACCCCCTTCTATGGATTCACATGCCTGGAAAACTCAGAGCAAGGTTACTATCAAATATATAAGATCACTGCAACTGAGCAAAATGGGTTTGCTGTTGGTTCTGGCTATACACTCACTACTTACTGAGTAACATGGCTGGGTTCCCAAAGCCAGATAATTATGTAAAAATAAGCATTATGCAAAACCAGAGGATGGTCACACCAGGTTACAAAATGGATGATGACTGTATCATTACATAATTACTATATTTCATCCTTATAAAACTGCCCAATTCCTGAGAATCAGGTCCAGCCAAGTTGACACCTGACACATAACCTTAACCATCACAGTCAGCATTACTCTAGCCCCAGTCTTTGTACTAATTACTGCAAGACATATGCTCAAAACAGTCTGATGGATTTTTTTACTATTGTTATAAATTCAAAATGTTGGAAAACTAGATAGTTGATAAGTGAGGAATAAGTGTAGCTAAATCTATTAGATTAGATTCAGTCAATGGCTAAAAACCCTCAAAAATTATGAGACCGTTATAACCAAGAACAGAGATCACTAGATTTCAAGATAAAAGATCAGCCTAGGTTGTCACTAGGTTTGTGGCTTTGTTCAAGTCACATAATCTGAGTCTGTTTCTGGAGCTCAAACATGTAACTCCATCTTACATGCTTCATAATCTCTTGTTTGGGTTTTTTCCTATACATTGTTTCCTTCTATTGCAAATCTAATGCATATCTACCAAATGCCAGGACATCTATTAGGCACATTTTATTATTCTAGTGTGGAACAGAAGATGTAATGTCAGGACTGTGATCTGATCTTTTTGTTTGGAGAGCCTCGGGATCAAGTGAATGAAATCACATATCCACACGGGATTAAAAAACTCAGGGAGTAGGATTAGCTTAAGCTTTAAGGTTCCAGTATGTGATGGCACAAAACAAGACTGACAAGAGAAAAAGCAGGTGAAATAAATATTTGCTAATTAGTTATTTTGAATCATTTGTTTATAGTTTCATGTAACTGTGCAAGACAATAAACCCAAAGCAATTGAGTGAAAATACTAACATTTATGTAAAAGAACTTAGAAACATGTTTGATCATGAAAGAGAACTAAAAAAATCACTGTTTCTCATAAGTTGCTTGCCTTGTCACTTTCCTCGGCAGTCTATTTGAAAAACAATCTATTTTTGGGAGGGGGGATAATTAAAAAATATCTAGTGAAATGCAAGAATAAGCAAAGGCACGTGTGATATTTTATGAAAGTGTATATGACTTAACAGACATGGCATGTTTTGAAAGATGTGAAATATACAACACAGACCAGTTTTAATGACGCAACATTCCATATAGAAATGAACTAATCTACAAGTTTTATTAACACAGCAGCTCTGTCCTAACTAATCTAATCTGGCTCATCCTTTCAATACAACTATCATGAAACAAGCACATTGTCCAGCAAGCGCTTCATTAAAAATTCCTGAGGTTATGGAAAAAAGTCTTAAGAATGAGATGAATTTTTCTCGTTATAACATGGATCAAGTTTATATACATATACATGTATATATATATATTTGGCATGCAGCAGTAATCAATTCTAGGAGGCAAAAACATACACTGGAATACATATATACACATATTTACCGCAGATATAAATACCGACGACTGGATTTAACTAACAAATCCCTTCCATAGATTCGCTTAGAGTGAATATAGTTTTCAGATGTAGAACCTGAAGATAAGCAGCATGAATGTGGAAAAGGGAGAGCTACTTTCTTGAGCCTTTGCTGTATGAGACCTGTCTCTCGGAATGATAAAAAGTTTATTAGGGTGGCCCGAGCCACGACCTAGGGCAACAGGCGAAGCGTGCACCCAGCGGTGAGAAGGGAGGGGTGGGGCGAGATCCTTAACGAAGGCTGGTCTCCAGACTAAATTAATTCTTCCCCCGAACGCGGCGGCGGCACGTCGGGGTCAAGGCATGTCAGGGCAGGAGTGACAGGCACAGTGCGAGAGCGGAATCGGGCGCCAGGACAGGTCTGAAGTGCCAGGCTCCGTCAAGATCAAACCTTCAGGCCTCTCCCAATCGCCAAGGTGAGGGGTCAAAGAACTACGGTCAGCAGGGTGCTCCCGGCAGGTCCCCTCCCAGAGTTTCCCCCGCGGAACCTGCACCTCTGTTCCGAACCGACCTAAGAGCTGGTCCAGGGCTGGAAGCCCGGTTGACACCAGCAGCTGCCCGTTCCGCACCGATGGTCGTGTGCCCGCAATGGACACCAGGCGAGAGCCGCCGCGGTCGAGGCCGCCGGCCCTGGGGCCCTTCCTCTGGAAGCTGGTGCCACCGGGCTTGCCGGCTGCTGCCTCCGACCCCGTCTCCTCAGCGCCGGAGCCGCAAGGGGCGGTGGCCGCCATCTTGCACTTTCCCGCGGCCGCCAATAGAAACTCTGGGAACGCCGTCGCCCGCCAGTCAGAACCCCTCCCACCCCTCCTTGATTCCGGGCCGGCGCCAGTAGCCAATCGGCTTGCTACTTCGCTTCGGCGCCAACCAATCGCCTGGCGCGTTGCTGACAAGTACGATCTGCCCCAGCACTGGCGGACTTCCGCGGGGCCCAGGTGAGTAGGCCCACCTGAGTCCCGGGTGAGGGTCGTTCCGGGTTCTTTGGGGCCAGAGGTGGGTAATACCGTGTTTTTTGAGAGACTTCATTCACGTTCAGTTAAAGAAGATCAAGGGGAACCGATCAATCCGTTCAGGAGTGATGTAGCAGCCTCGTTCTAGATCGGCTCGAGAAGAACCCTAACTCTTGCCCGCACCCTTCTCTTGGGCTCAGAGAAAGTGTGCCCCACCTGCCCCAGGTGTTCTCTCGCGGAATGGCCGTGTTTAACCGAAGCCTTTGGAGTCGGCAATGAGTTGCTAAGAATCTTGCTCAGCTCATCAGTGCTAGTGGTGGATGGGTGGATTTAGATCGAGGAGTGGAAAATGTTCATCTTTGGGGTAATTTGGCGTTCCTCTGTTTGAAGCAGCACATGGACAAAATGTACCTCTCTGACAAGCCCCGGGGAGAAGATTGCCTTCATTTTAATTGCTGGAAGTCTTGGGGAGCTTTTTCTGAAGCGCTGTGAAAGACAGGTGTTACTCTGACAACCTTGTTCACACATTTAATTGTCGTTTGCCGTTAGAGCAGCTGCAAATAACAGGAAATACTTTAGGTTTCCTTCTCCCGAAAAATGATTACCCAAAAAAAATATGTATATGCTTTCTGTTTCTAGTTTTCGGTGAACTCAATTAAGAGCTTTCTAATTAGAACGAAAATTTTATGCATGGGGGAAAAAAAGCCTTGTAAGGTCAAGCTGTGTCTTTGAATTTTAAAAGTTTCTTAAAATTGAACTGGGGCAAGGGTCCGGTAGTGTGGAGGGTGGTAAGTTGGTTTTAAAGACATCCATCATTGACCAACATCTAAATTACAAAAGAACCCCAAGCCCTGCCTGCACTACTACATCGCAATTGATTTTGACAGTGGCCTATTAGCGTGTTTTGAGTGCAGGGTACCTCACTTGGGAAAAACAGAAACACATATTGGCTGGAAAACTTGCGTTCAGGTTTAGATGGCTTCATATCTGATTCTAACCCGTCTAAATCTTTACAAGTGATTATTTAACTACCAGCTGTTGAGTGCTGTCATCTTAGGGGTAATCTTGTCATTATAGATCTTTTAGAATTAAAAATCGTCTCATTTGGGGCAGATAGATAAAGAGTGGAAAATTGTATCATTTTAACATGAACGTAACAGTAGGGGCTAATTTTGGCATTTAGAAAATACTAGTGAGATACAGACATAAAGTGCCACAGTAGTCCTATATACAGTACAAACTTCTTGAATATTTTTGCTTTTCTGAAAACTTGAAAGTGATACTGATATTTAATTTCTGTAGGTTTCTTTGTGGTTTCGTGTTTTCAACTCTATTTTGTTCCTTTTATAGTTTTCTGAAAATTAGGATAGGGATACTTTATTAGAACTGAAGAACATAACACATGTACGCGTTGAGTCCTTCCACGAATTTGGTTACAGTGAACCCTCGTTTATCGCGGTTAATCGGTTCTAGACCCTACCGTGATAAATGAAATTCCGCGAAGTAGGATTCCTTATTTGTAAATCAAATATTTTCGTAGTTAGAGCATAGAGGACATGAAAAAACACCCTTTAGTCACCATTACACTCGTATTACCCAATTTATTAAACGAAAAAGGGAAAATACAGTAAAACATTTTGGACGTTACAATTATCATTTATTATTTATTATATTATTTATGGCATCAAGCGTGTACAGTATGAGCCAATCAGTGGCAGTAATGACAGAGCATGCGCTGTTACGCAAAAACCGCGATAGAGTGAAGCTGTGGAAGTCGAAGCTCGGAATGGCGAGGGTTCACTGTGTATCTCCTGTGCAATAGAATACAGTAATGTACTAATTTATTAAAATTTTTTACAAAGATAAAAACCTTGTTCCCAAAAACACTGTAATTTACCAGCACAGAGTAGAATTAAATATAAAACATGGTAATACGGTAAATGAAATATCTATGGAAGAGTTAAAATGATATATGTATAAGTGTGGGATTAATTTCAACAGTTGTTTATTGAGTACATAGTAAATTACAGGTTGTACACTATATTAGGGCTTAATTCTGAGCACCCTGGTTTGTTAAAGGGTATGGGGTGGCAGTGACAGCCCAAAATCCATGTACAGAGTTCTCACATATATTGTCTCCATTGAATGCTTTCTGATTAATAAACAAGGATATAGGTCATCTTGCCTTCAGGCAGAATGCCTTAGAGCAGGTATCCTCAAACTACGGCCCGCCCGCAGGCCGCACGAGGCCCACTGAGGACATTTATCCAGCCTGCTGGGTGTTTTTGCCCCGTTTTGTTTTCTACTTCAAAATAAGATATGTGCAGTGTGCATAGGAATTTGTTCATAGTTGTTGTTTTTTTCAACTATAGTCTGGCCCTCCAACAGGTCTGAGGGACAGTAAACTGGCCTCCTGTTTAAAAAGTTTGAGGACCCCTGTCTTAGAGAATGGATTGCCTCTACAACTCTCTGGCCAGCCCAGGAAGGGGCAGTCTCTTGGGGCTTGTCTAGGTGTGTCCTTAATGGAGGTCATTGTACTGGGGATGGTACAGAGGGTCGAATAGTAATGAGTCATGTCCTATGAGTTTGGCCCTGCCTGCCTTCGTTGAAAGGCCCTGGACCAATCATGATCCAGTCCCCGCTTCTCTAGTCCCCCCTCAAATTGTGATGTAGTTATTAATCTGCCACCAATCATGCTTTTGTGACAGTTTCCTCACCACCACAACCACCCCATTATTTATCTCATATCTCAATTTTGAACCCTCGGACACCATTTCATGCTCATGTTGGTGGTCTTATCCTGATCTGTTGTCTTTGTCTGTTTTAAGGCTTAATAAATGTTCTCTCTTCATTATATTTGAGATGGGGTTTCTTTGGTACCCTAAAACAATACTATACATATGAAGACTACATGGCTTAAGATCGAGATTGCATCCTTTTACCATACTTGTTCAATCTGTATGCTGAACAAATAATCTGAGAAGTTGGATTATATGAAGAAGAATCAGGATGGGAGGAAGGCTTCTGTGACATGCAGGTGACCTATCCTTGCTTGCCCTTCCTGAAAGAAAGGATGACTTGAAGTAGCTGCTGATGAAGATCAAAGACTGCAAGATCAAGGGTTGCAGCCTTCAGTGTGGATTACAAATCATTTTAAAGAACACTAAAATCTTCACGATTAGACCAGTAGGTAGCATCCTGGTAAACAGAGAAAACATGGAAGTTGTCAAATATTTTGTCTTGTTTGGATCCACAATGAATATTCATTAATTGAAACAGTAGTCAATAAATTAAAGGATATTTTGTGTTGGGCAAATCTGCTACATAAGACCTCTCTAAAGTGTTATTACATTGAGGACTAAGGTGTATTTCACCTAAGCTATGGTATGTTTCAGCTGCCTCATAAGCTTGTGAAGGCTGGGCAATAAAAAAAAAGACTGCAGAAGAATCGAGGCCTTTAAATGGTGGTGTTGGCAAAGATATTGAACGTACCACGGGTTGGTGGAAGAACAGACATCTGCCCCGGAAGAAGTACAGCCAGAATGCTCCAAAATGGGCATGGGAAACTTTGTCTCATGTACTTAGACATCTTCTCAGTAGAGACAAATATCTGAGAAAGGACATCAAACGAAGTAAAGTAGAGAGCACAAAAGAGGTATACCATTGATGCAATGGATTGATCCAAGGGCTGCAACAGTGGGTTCAAACAGTACTTGTGAGCATCGTGCAAGACCAGTTAATGTTTTGCTCTGTTGTGTGTAGGGTTGGTGAGTATGAACTGACTTGATGGTAGACACACAGGCCAACAAAATATAATGAACGTTTTACAAATAAGCTCATACACTTAAGGCCAACTGCTTTTCAACAAGGGCGTTACATCCCTTGTTGATAAAAGAATCAACAAACAATGCTGCTAGGACACCTGACTCTCCACATGCCAAAGGATGAAATTGGAACTGTAGCTCCCTCTATAGAGGAATTAACTAAAATGGATTAATAGCCTAATTTTCAGAGTGTCCATGTAAGTTCCTAATTGAAAACATCTGGGTAAATCTGGAAGCCCTTATTTTTGACAATAGATTCCTGGAGAAGGATACATAAAACATGAAAAAGAAAACAGATAATTAGATGTCACCAAAATTGAAAATGTGCACTGATGAGATAGACTGGCCCAGTGGTTAAAATAATCACACAGGAATGCTTGTGACGGGTTCTGTTGTACATAAGGCGCACTATAACTTGGAACCCACTCAACAGCAACGGACAGCCACAGCTTTTCAGAAGTAGTTGCCAGACCTTTTCTGAAGCATCTCTCAGTGGACTGGAAGCAACATGCTGGTTAGTAATTGAGTGCAGTAGTTGTTCACACCACCCAGGTACTCTCAGTGCTCATTAGGAAAATGCAGTCAAAACCCCAATGATTACCACTTCACATGCACTAGGATGGTTATTAGAAAAAAAAAAAAAGGAAAGTAACATATTTGCGGGAGGATATGTAACATTGCAACTCTGGCCAGAATGGTGCAGCCACTGTGGGAAAATACTTGGCTGTTCTTCAAAATATAAAATAAAGAATTTGCATGTGACCTAGCAATTCTTTTCTCAGAAATAGATCCCCAAAACTTAAAGCAAGGACTGAGATACTTGTACCACATGGTAAATATAATTAATGTCACTCAATTGTACACTTGCAAGTTGTTAAAATATGTATTTTATCGCAATTACATTTTTGCAAAAACATTGTTATTCTTGTTTTATAAATTGTTTTTCTGTCTTTATGTTTTTTAAGGATATACTTTTAAAATTTCTTTGAAATATAATATTGATTTTATTTCCTAAATTGATTTTTTTCATTTATAATCTCAGATTTAAAGTGTTCAATTTCTCATCTATAATCTTGCATCTTTGGATTTTCTCTCAATTTCCCCCACCAATTAACTTTGTAGGGTTAAAAAAATCAATTAGTGCAAGTCTTAACGCTTATT